TCCGATAATCCTTCTGGCTCTCCCTCGCTGCATCTGCACCAAAGTGCTCATGACCATACCCCTCCATCGTCCGTCCAAGGTCAGTCTCTGAATCCAGTGCCACCGTTTGCTTGCTCTTCAACAGAATTTCAGTAAAAATATCCAACAGCTGAAGGTTACATCTGTGTCAAAACAGTTTGAATTCATATGAACTTCTTAGTTTGGCTCAAAAGAAGCAGGGACAATTTGGAAAATGCCCAGTTTCTTTCTAAATATCCTTATCTGAATTCTAGTGTTTGCTCTATTTACTTTCAAGAACAGATATGGAGCTTAAGAGGTGTTCCCACACAGAGCAAAACGGAAAAAAGACCAGTCAGGCTCCTCCGTCTGCCCGTGCTCAGGATGCACCTGCCTAAAAAAGACACCAGCCACCTCTAGGCGTGTCAGTAGAGGGCGTCACCTAGGAGATTCTCCCACTGAGAGGGTGTCACCGTGGAAATGATGCCAGCAGCAGAGCGTTGTTGTGGAGAGGCTAATGTCTTTGAAATCTTGAAGGAGTTTTTCTTTCATGAAGGCAAAGGGTATAATGGAAAGGGTATATGCACCCTGCACAGTGTGTACACGCAGGATAAAGCCACCATTGCCCTGAGCGCTTCTCTACAAGTTGAGTGCTACTGAGTGCTCCATGAAGCTCTATGTCTTGCTCCCTCTCTATGGGTTAATCCTGCTTTCTATTGGTGGCACCACGTCACTTTCACAAAGAGGATTTCAGAATTAAAATGAACAGGAGCGGAGATGAGCTCTGCGAAGAGAGCAGCACATTTTCACAGCAAGACCATTACTGTGGTGGGTTATTTTTATCCATCTGAGTGGGCTCCATTAAACCAAATACATGCAGCAAACCTAGCATTTCTGCAATTATTTGGGAAGAGTTTTTTAGGTACCACTCTTAAATTATACACTTTGTGCAGACCTCACAGAAAACGGGGGTGTCCAATCCATTGCTGAGTGAAACTGAGGCTTTGCAATGAGCTTATGTAAAAACCACCACAGAGGCCGAGGTTAGCCCCACATGCTAATACAATGTACCTTGACGCTGCTAAGTGAAGCTTGCACCAACGTGTCAGTGTTACATAATCAAAAGAGTACACCCATGTTTTTTCTTTCAGCACCACCCTGTTGCACCCATGTCAATGGTTTCTTTCTAACATCAGTCATGAATGTTAACGTCTGCCTTTGTGGGATGTACAAACAGTAGGGAATATATAATAAATGCATTTACTGATTCAAAATTCATGTTTCTTCTGTGCAACTTGTCCACAGTTTAGCTAATGGAAAGGATTCCCCTCCACATTCACAGAGGTGTCTGTAACCCTGCTTAAAGGGATCACCTCCAGGTGACAGACTGTTTGTGACAGTTGCTACGTTAAGATGGAAAATCCTCTTAGGCCAGCCCTCTGAGGTTCCCCACTTCCCCCACTTAGAACTATCTTGAACACATGCTAACGGAAACCCCTCACCAACACAATGCAGATAACAGATCAGGATTTACTAACATGGAGACACTCTAAAGTAGCCTATATAGCACAGACGGATAGACAAACTCCTGCTCCGAGGGTGGACAATTGCTGCTGTTGTACCTTAAAATCACGTTATCAATGGCATTAAATGCTTAGTGTCTCATGAACTCAAAGGGATGGGAGCACACTAATTTCTTATATGCATGTCGTCAGGTGGTGCACGGTTCTTCCACTCATTCAATTCAATGTATCATAATAAATGTCATGTGCAGTGTGGATAGTCATTGGCTGCGACAAATCAGAGTCATGCGATTGAACACATGGGTAACCATTGCCAACAAAGGAGCAATCCTTAATTGTGAATGACCCCTGCAGAAACCTCAGGTCAGATGATCTAAAACTACAGTAGACTTGAAATCAATTTCACGTCAAACTCTAATAAAGCAGAGTAATCAGCTAGAACTACAGCTAAGTGACTAAAACCCCTTTCTATTATGTAATGAATTAAAATACAGGTATAATGTCCTGAAAGCTTGTTGTGGGCGATGTAGAGAGTAAGAGAAGTAGCTATGAGCTGTGCAGGAGACAGAATAACAGTATTTAAGTCAAACTTGATCTAACACATCAAGATTAGTTCACTCGTCATGTAAAGCCTGAAGAGATCAGTTATATAATGTAATCTGTGGCTTTGGTAAGAGCTATGTAAAGTCAGAGAAACTATAAAGGGCAGCCTGAGCTACAAAAAAACCCCCGGGCAAAAATGTGAAGCTGGTCCATCGCCACCTATCTCGGTGAACGTATGGGCTTCCCTGTATTCACCATTAGGTACAAAGCACACAAAAGACTGCATGGCAGCCTTATTTACAGAGAGAGAACATCAAGTACTCTAGCATGTGAGAGAGTTTGATTAAATACAATATATGTAAGGTAGAAATATGTAAACTAGCGTAAATAAAGTCTTAAAAATGTATTTGGGCTGTTCTAAAAGACAGCTTGTCGCAGTTTCAATGTTTTACACAATCCTCTCCTCCACAACTTCTTGTCTGGTGTCTGGTTTGCAGCCAATTACAAGAACCAGCCTTCTTAAATATATTATTGAGTCTGCTGGTGTCACCAGCTCCAATGCTGCAACCCTAGCAGATTGCAAGGACTACTTCTTCTCCTGATAGAAGATTTCCAACATCATGCTGCACAAGTTAATGGGTCTCAAGAAAATAGGCTGTTCATACTCTTTCCTTTGTGATGGCTGTTCTATTTAAGTGCCCTCATAACCCACAAACTGACAGTCTAAAATTGAATGCATCCTTAAATAATGTTTAAGTGAACATGTGAACACTTTTTTTTTTCCATTTAGCTGCTGCAGTTTCAGGGTCCTTGTATTGTCCATGTTAGCTCACTGGCACACTCTCATGGCTTACTGGATCAACACATGTGCTCTGGCTATTCTGCCTGAAACCTGTGATCTGAGATCTTAACTGTCACACACTGACATCTAGTGGATGCAATGTCTTATTGCCCAAAACACGGTTATCATTTCCTGATTAAGGGATTTCTTTAGGTGCAGATGTAGACTTGTTCTGCACAGATTTACTGTATACTGATGTATTTGTCAACTTGCTGAACATTAACCCAGATCTATTTCTTATCCTTGGACAGCAACTTTGAAATACTATAAGTGACTACCACATAAATATATTGCATTTTTTGTTAACTATTTAATTTAAATCACCACAAAGTGCTAAATTCTTCAATTTTAATGATCAACTCAAAACAATTGGATGGACACTGTGTCAAATGGTGTCAAAACAGTGATTCATAGTCTAGTGATTTGTATCCTTTCAATTGTTTGCCTATTTGAAACACTGCCAACTTTTGTCTAGTGGTAGTATCTTATTTATTCAAATGGATACGCTTGTTTCTCATTCAGAGTGAGCTCCTTAAAAGCAAGGCAGTGAAATGAGATACAAAAGGAGTTAATGTTTGTGTGGGAACAGTCTGAACTTTTGGCTGCCTGTCAATTTCTGGCAGTGAAAACTAAGTAGGTCCAGACGCTAAAAGCTCCTTACACAACTCCAATTCTTTTTTAAACAGGAAATTCACAAGACATGATTTTCTGGAAATGATCCAAAATGGAGAAAAAGGTTAAAGCAACACGCAGAGGAAATACATTGATAGTCATTTCCAACTTAACAGGCATGTTTCAGTCAAATATTGCAGAATTCTCAGCTATTTTGACTCATACTTCTAGGAATGTTGCATTGAAAGTTTGGAATGTGCCACGGGTACAAGAAAGTGTAAGCCATGACCAAGCATGGTGGTAATTAGTCATAAGGTCTTATATCAAAGGTATAGTGTTGATTTATGAGTTAGTTCTAAATCTGTGCTATTATCCTTCCAGTGATCTCTTGGCAACTGGTTGCAACCTTAACTGGAGACTCGTCAGAAACTGTGCTGAGCCTCAGGGGAAGTGAAGTCATGACGGATAGAACAGCACTGCCATTTTGCTCTGCTCATTGGGGAATTTTCTGGAAACTCCGCTCTGGCATGTTTACAAACTGGAAATCCCTAGACTTTATTTTCCCTTCAAAAGGTATTGTCCTGACAGGTTAACAAAGAGTGGATCCTGGTGAAGGAACAGGTCTGAGCGAACTCACCCAGGTATGTGCGTGACCAAAATGAAACATGAATAAACCTCATGCTCAATCACCCTTCAGCTGTGAGTCACTGAGACAATTTCTACGGTTAGTGCGTCAAACATATTGCTCAATACTTAATTTGTCCAGAAATATTAACCTTGATTAACCTTGATCAAATGAGATACAATCTTATGACTGGATACAAAATGAGGATGTAAAAGCACGAGGTAGATTTCATGAGAGACCAATGGCTCCATCCTCTTACCAGTGGGACGAAGAGCCATGGAAAAGTATTTCTATTTGAGTGTATTCAAAGATATTACTATCATGAGATTCCATTTCAACAACTACGCTTTTTAGTGGATTTTTATAAACATTTATTGTCCCAAGAGTATACATCCTACTGACAAAGGTGACCCCCTGACCTTTGTGCAGCTTCTTCCAGAGGTCACAAAAGGATGTTACAACTTTTGCGTTATTATCCCACCCCCAGATACAATAGAGTGTTATGACATTTTGTGGAGTAGTAGCAGACTCAGGCTTTCTGAAGGGCAAAACATATTAACATTTTCATAATGAGTACTTTTACTTTTGGTACTTTAAGTATATTTTGATGCTGATACTTTTATACTTCTACTTGAGTAACATTTTGAATGCAGGATTTAACAGAATATCCTGCACTGTGGTACTTTTACTCGAAAATATAAGTAGCCTACTTATCCCACCTCTGATTAACATGCATTAATACATATAATTCAGTATGCTGTGGCAGGTTTGTGTAAACTAAAATGACAAAATAAAACGATGAAACCTCTGATAGCTCCATTAAAGATTGAAATGGGCTTGACCAACCTTAGGGGAACTCCCACCGGTCTTTAGTGTGACATTCAGGAAATGCTAATACTTAATGGTGAGGTCATTGATACCTCAGTGCTTGATACACGGCAGAGAGGAGGCACATAGCAGCAGTAGGGATTCAACTGCCGTTGGATGAGGAGTTTATCGGCGTATGAAGAAGGAAACGATATAATTTTTTTACCGACATTATTCAGCGGGTCTCTCTGATGCTTCGCTGTTTGTTGCTGTTTATTCATCCTACCAAAAGAGAAGGAAAAATAAAACACTACATTTTAAATCAGCCGAACTTCTGGTAAGTTCTTATACTAACTAAAACAGCAGGTCTCGTTTTAGTATGGTACCGATTAAATGACAACATCGTAATTTAAATTCTCGCTACGACATGTTGTTTTGTATTATGGTTTCGTTTCCACAGCCATGTGCTATGATCAGACTATGATGTGATGCTGCTGTGATTAGTGACTCGAGATTTTAGTCGACTTTGTGTACTGTAAAGTGCAGAACAAAACTGCCAAAACTCTTGTTACAATTGTTTCAGAGGCGGATATTTGATAAATAACAGTTACTGACTCCTCTGATGTTTTTAAGAATAATCAGAGTCGTGTGAATTTGACATACGAATATTGAATAGTAGGTTACTGGCAGTCATTTTTTAGACCTTTTTTTGAACGCAAGATTGGAGTGCAGTAAATTACTGCACTCCAATCCTGCTGTCAAAATCTGATAAGACCCACTTTGAGTTGCTTTTCAACCTAATGTGCTATTTCCTGTTTCTGTGGTCGTTTCCTTGTGTGATACGCTTTCTCCATAAACACATCCTTTCTAAAAAATCCTCTAACAATTCCTGTACTTAAAAATCATTGAGTGAATTAACATATTGTAGTAGATGTTATCCAAAAATATTAGCTGAAACGTATATGTATGACTATTGACTACTTTTGAAAAATGTGAATATATTACATTACATTACATTTAGCTGACGCTTTTATCCAAAGCGACTCACAATAAGTACATTCGACCAGGAAGACACAACCTTGAAGAAAACAGAATCATATAAGTACATCAGGTTTCATAGAGCCAACAATTTCAAGTGCTACTCAACTGGCTATAGATAAGCCATTCCTTTATTAGTATACAAGTGCTCTGTTAGCAGTTCTTTGTTAGTAATTCTATCGCTCGAAGTATATATATATATCTATTCAGAGTTAAAACACCTCCTAAAATCCCCTTAAATCTATAATATCAAATACTGTGTTGTGAGTGTAAGTGTTATAATCCTAAAAACTGATCATTCTTTTTCTTTTGCAGACAGCCTTTACAACAGGAGCCATGGTGGCAGCAGTCCTTAAATTGTATTTTATTGGAACGGCTCTGAGTGTCCTTGCTGTCTTTTATGTCATCGTGGACTCCTTTGGTGGTCTGATGTACGTCCAGGACGATCACTACACAACAGACCAGCAGACACAGAGACAGATCTCTTCGGATCAGCAGACACAGAGACAGATCTCCTCAGGCCACAACAGGAAACGATCACCTGTCACCAAAAACATTGACTAATAAGGAGAACCTTGAGGTCACAATGAAGTTTTGTGGCAATGATTGTCCAATCGCTGTGGATTATAAATATCCTGCTTCCATTCCTAAGTATGGACATTATGATAATGTCTAACCTACAGGACGTGTACTGGATTAGACACTTGTCTTTGTTAGAGCAGCTCTACAACCAATGATACATGTAACGGTACTACTGAACAATGATTTGCACTAAAAATTAGAGTTTGTATATTTATTATGTGAAATTTAAGAGTTGTTTTTTTTTTCAAATAAAGTCATTTTTAAATGTTTGAAATGTTGCAATGACTACACACTACAAAATTAAACTGTCTTAGAATGCCTACTAGAGTTTGTTGTAATGTAGCCAATCAAAGATAAAACCATTTCAGCAGTGATTAGGAACTACAAGTTGAGCCTTGCAATATGGCTAAAGGGCAGAATACAATAAAATATACCTTTATTACAAGCAGGAACAAGTGTGCAGAACATAGAGTAGTTATATCAAGTTGAAAAACTTGTCCAGTCATGTTTGTTTGTTTTGATTCAACAAATACGCAATATCTCTGGTCTCAAGACAGTTCATGAACTCCAGTAGACAAGTAAAGCAGCCATAACACCAGCTCTGCCTGATTTAGAAAGCCCCCTTTAAATGTAAACGTGCAAAAAATGGCCAAAGAGCTGACAACTTGTCGGGAAAGAAAATCTACTTTCCAGAAACGTTGAGGCATACAAAAAAGCGATGTATTGCGCCAATAATAACAATTCTATAGGGATTATATGGGTCCTCGGCTCAGACGTCAGTGCTCAGGCCCTAAAAATGTGAGGCTTTTCAAAAAGAGGTCTTTACCCCATGTCATTAGCTGATTGTGCAACAGGAGCCCTGTGAGTAGAGTCTGGATCATTGTTCCTGCAGTCTATGATTAACAATGAATCAAATAGATGAATCTGTGCATTGTGAAAAAGATGAAGCCAAAGAAAATACCAATGTGTATACCTCAGAAGCATCAATCTCATTAGCCCTGGACAGGCTCCAGTACGTCCAGAACTCTGCAGCCAGGCTCCTCACCCACACTAAGCCCTGGCAACACATTACCCCCACCCTCATCCACCTTCACTGGCTCCCGGTCAAGTCACGCATCCAGTACAAACTCCTCCTGCTAACTTACAAATCTCTCCACTACCTAGCCCCTGCATACATCTCTGACCTCCTTCAGCCCTACACCCCCTCTCGTCAACTGCGGTCCTCCGTCAACGGGCTGCTCTCCATCCAGCCCTCCAAGCTAAAAACCTTTGGCAACAGGGCTTTCAGTGTTGCAGCCCCCACCCTCTGGAATGCTCTCCCCACTGCTATCACGAAATGCCGACTCTCTGGACACTTTAAAAAAAAAACTCAAACACCTTCTGTTCACCCGGACCTTTGGCCTCAGCTAAAATGCAGTACCCAGCAACCGGTTATTATAATTTTTTTCTAACCTGTGTATCCTTGTGACTATTATTATTTTGTTGTTTTGTTTCCCATTGTGAAGCGTCCTTGGATCTCTTGAAAGGCGCTATAAAAATTAAATTATTATTATTACGCCAATCTTGATTGGCTGTTGATGTTGATGGCCACGTTAGGGAATCCACCAAACCTTAAAATAGCTTGTGCGCGCCATTCAAAAATAAGCACCTCTTCTCGCTTCGTATCAGCAAGAAGGGTTGTCTGGTGAGACATCTCCCTCATGCTACTGTTCTCATTAATAGCCTTTGTTCAATGTCTCACTATGGGATATGGAGACTTCCATACTGTCAGACATTCTTATCTCAAACAACCACCAGTAATGAGACGGATGCTTCTGAGGTATACGCATCCCATAATGAGATATCGAAACGAATGCTATATGAATGAGAACATCAGTGACATCTGGCCCTCTGGAACATTTTAGCCTATTTTAACTTGTGTTTTAATTGACTGTATGGTTCAGTCTCATTGTCCTCATCAGACCCAGCTATTATACTCATGAGCTGGTGAAAGGAAAGTGAATACTTTACTTTCATTACATTCATCATGTTAAGCATCTTAAAACAAACTCCTCAAGTTGAACTATGTTCATCACCTCTCTTCTTAAATGAGTCAGTTGCTTGTTGCAGTCGACTCCCTCTGTCCGGTGACTCAAAGCTACATTAGTACATTAGCAGTATTAGTCAGCACACCTGGGCGTCCGGTGTCCATGCACAAAGAGTAAAGCAGCTGTCAGGCCAACACACAACTCCTGTGCCTCCCTTTGTTCTAATTTCTTTTAAAACACAAGGCATGTGCAGCACACGTCCACTGATCAAGTCCCTACACCTCTGACTTCATTTTGTGTAAATTATGAAACAAGGCCTTGGGTTAGGCTTTTAGTGTTGTTTCTCCATTAAGTTGATTAAACATTCAAAAACAGTGGAGTTTTGGCAGTTAGGCCTCCATTATCTATTATGTCCTGAGGGTGAGGGAGTGTACCAACTTGCTTTAAAACGTGTTTTACTATCAGGGATGCTACAGTGTTGAGGTTCACACACCAACAGAGACTAGTCATTTGCGTTGAGACATTAAAAGACATGACGTCATTGAAATTGCATCTCATGTATTATTTCAGAAATGTTCAATCTTAGATTAAAATGTGGAACAAATAGTAACCTTGTGTTACTTAAAATGATCAGCAAAAAGGTGTGGTAAACAATAACTGTTTTGAATGAGCTACTTTCACTTCAACCAGTGTTTTTTCAACCACATGTTAACATTTTTGAGCTTATTCATTTTCCATGTTAGTAGTGTAAAGTAAACTGTCACAGCTGGGTTTCCAGAGGAGCCTGTGGCAAAACAGCTGTGCTACATCCAAGCACAACTCATATTACTGTTTGGTGTGTCTTCAGATTTCTTAGTGAGAAGTGGCTTCACACACCTAAGTATCATCATTTTGGAAATATATTGAAACCGCACTACAGGAATCATAAACCATATTATGTCGTGCGTAAAAGCCTAACCCCGTCAGCAGGGAGCGTTATGTCGAATAAGTGGCGTCCTCTAACGTTCAGTGGTGCCAACTACAAGGAAGAAAACTTCTCTGATATGCTGCATTCACGCCTCCTTCAACTTGCAAGAACTTCTCAATTTGTGCTTTTACGCATTTGTTTTTCTATTCCAACGTGTTATCTCACAATTCGTCTGACTCCCACATCTCCTTTCTTGCATAGGTTGCAAACGGCAACAAGGTGCGTTTCCATCACTTGAAATGTAAATCCGTCTATACGTGCAGGTCACCTGGATGCGGGCAGAAACACCTGCTGGTAGAGGAGGCAGCACTTTTTATGTCCAAGCACGTCCCACCCCCATTAGCTGTTAGAGCTCAGCACAAATAACCGAGTTTCGGCTGGCATCTCGGTCACTGGGATACTTATTTTCGCATCGGATATGATCTGGAGACTGGTGGTCCTCGGTGGGGTGTACATCCTTTTCCTGGGGGCTGAAGGCAGCAGCCGCGAGGGGAGGACGGTGACTTTCAGCCGGACTCAGCAGAATGAGAGCCAGGGCCAAGGGCGCGCACGCCAGAGGAGGGACACACGAAGCTCCTCCGGGACCCCCAGGCCTTTCCACGGTCCTCCTTTCACCTCCTGTCGGACCCCGCTCACCCCTGACGAGCACAGGGTTCTGGATGACAATACGCAAGAGGTGAGGTGTGTTTGAGTTAAATATTGACATTAATATGAAGCTAAGGCTTGGTGCATGCATAGGCATGAGCAATGTTCATTATACATTTGCAATAGGCTACCTTTAATTAGACATGACAAATCAATTTCAGAGCACAGATGAACTTTTTCTAGGACAAAAAGTTATAATTTTTTCTTGCTTCTTTTACATGTTTGCATTGTTCCAGAATATCTCAATTAAGACGTTTCTGAAAAACCACAATAACGTGAAACTGTAAAAGAAACAAGTGGAACTATTACACCAACAATAAACCCAAGCATGATAATGATACTAAATAGCAACTGTTTAAAATAATAAAATGACTGTTTGTTTATCATGTTTCTCAGCCCATTCACTCCATTTGCCATCACAGGAAATGGGAATTTTGTATTATTTAATCAATTTATGAGTTCTTTTTTTTACTTTAGAGGAGATGCTGTTACATGATTATCTCTTCATCTCTCTTCCAGACAGGGTTTAATGGGGATGATGGCTCCCATGTGATTCTCACATGGGTGGGCGATGGTACAGGGGTGAGTGTCTAACAGGCTACCAGAGGTCAGATCATTGTCATCAACACACCGTGCTGTCTACTTGACTCTTTACAGAGACGTGTTTGGAATGTCTCATGTTTGGCAGTGTTTGTAATTTCTTTATTCCTAAATATTCTATTTCTGAAATTGTTCTTTGAAAAATTGGTCTGAAATACAGTTTTTGTGCCCATATTTAGACATTTAGAAAAATGTCTACTCAGATTGAAATGATGACAATCTTCATACTTGTCTAAACTAGATTACTATATATTTTATAAAATTATTTCAACCACATTGCTGCATTTCCTAGGTCGCCCTGGTGCTATCGACGTTTAGTGCTCCTATAGATTCTTTCATGACCGGAGGCTCCTCACGACTTTACCGAAGGTGAGTAAGGATCTCATACGATATAAGAAATGTCATGAGCACCACATCCCATCTTGATCAGATCTCAAACATACGACAAATTGTATTTTCTTTCTCATCAGCACGGATTATGCAAAATCCTTTCATGACATTTCCCATCGGATCAACCACACCTTCATAAGGGAGGAGTTTGAAGTCAGTGTTGGACCTGGGAGCTCCGTAAGTCAAGAGTAGGGAACCCGTTGTGTGAGCACTTAGAGTTTGGGGAACCAGACATGTTGACATGAGTGTTTGAAATTGCCTCACAAAAAGTGTGACGACATCTCTGCTGTCTGATGATCTGGTGCCACATCTTCTCTAAACCACTTAGTTTAGCCTTTTCTGTCCGCAAAAGTACACCCACACACAACATTTATATTCAAAATGTGGATGTTTTTAAACATATTTTCTGCTTTCTCATTATACATTTGGAATATTTGTGAACTGAGGAAGGTTTAAGCAGTGTTAGAATGTAAAACTGTATTTTTCTTCTGACATACATGTTGCTTTCTTACTACTAACTTTGCATGTCATGTCTGTTTTGATTGACAGGTGATACTGACAGCAGATATACCAGTGGTGGATCACCCAGGAGGGATCATCTTCACCTCCACGGACGCCGGAGCGACCTTCAAGTTCATCCAACTT